ATTCTACACTATGTTTTTATAAAGTTCACATCTAAAACATAGTAAGGATTTAGGAACGTTGAAAGATGATGGAAAAATGTATAGCATGTAAAAACTAAGCAAAGGAAAGGCTACATAGTTACAGTATTATCAAAGTACACTTCATGGCAAAAAGCATTACTAGAGATAAAAACGGGATATTATAATCCACAATCATGTCTCATTGTTCAATAAATTAGAAGACCAAATTTAAAAATATATATATATATGTAGATGATCAGAACCATGCCATTAGCACTCTTAATCCAATGAATTTACATAGAACACTGAACCTTACAACTGCAAGACACATTCTTTTCAAACACTGCCAAACATTTATAAAACATGGCAGTATGATGGTCCTTAATGAAGAGCAAAAAATAGAAATCATCAAAGTGTGTTCATAGATCACAGTTCAATGTGAGAAAATGGGAGAGAATGAGATCCAGGGCCCAGGTGGAAGATGGCCTTAGCCGAGAAGAAGTCCGTTCTTTTCTGTTGACCCCACCTCTGCCTGGGCCCTGGGCCCACTGCCCCCCTGGTAATTGTGAATGAAGAGCAGTCTTGAGTGACCCACCCTGGGAACTGTTCAGAAACGGTCCAAATGGTGAGCTCCAGTCCTTGTTCACTGTGTTACTTTTATCAACTCCATGGCATAATCTCAGAGTTGAACTCTGTGCAGATCTTCATTTTCCTTAAAAGGACACTCATTCTTTCCATATGACAGCCCCGTAACAGCGGTGAGTGGAGTTAAGCTCCTCCACAAACTAAGACATGCTCAGGTGAAGATCTGGATGTTTCAGTCTCATGAGAGATTGATTTGTGAAAACAATGCCACATGCAGGAAAAGCCAATGGGTCCCATCTCTGCTTCCAAGTTAGGGAATAGCAGTAGTGGTTAGCGCCATGATCCTCCTCAGAGGAGATGAACTGGAAATGAAAGCCCCAAGTTCAAAGGCCAGGGGTCTTTTCCCAGAGATGAAGAGGCAATAGAGGGGCCTAATGGAATCACAAGGGAGGTTTCCTCAGCATGCAGTACCCTTTCCACAGGTGGCACCCCAGGCCACCGAATGCTGGTTGTCAACCTGGCAGTGCAAGAATCACTGAGCTGAGCCCCCTCTCCTCTTTTTTCAAATGAAAGCTTATCAAGGAAAACATAAAATTGGAGACAGTGAGGTCCCTGGAGCCCCACCCTCTCAGCCAACCCCACCCTGCCTACCACCATGAGGCCTGGCCACTGGCATTTTAGTATGGACTTTTTTAAGTATGTGTAACCAAACACCTATCTCAACCACAAAAAAAAAAAAAAAAAAAAAGGAAATCTTGAGAATGTTCCCACAGAATGTCTCGCTTTGAGCAATGCAATTTCCTGGTACACTCTCCAAAGTAAACCTAGTGTAAAATGCATCAGAGTCACCACATGAGGTAACCAGCTTCATGAAGTTATTAGTTACATAATAACTCATATTTTTTAAAGAGCAGCTAACACTCCCTGTTCCCTTTGGTGCCTCGCTGGGGTTGAATCCCCCAGAGAATCAGGAACAAGTTGCGGTTGGAGGCTTCCTGTCCTAGCTGCCTCCTACCCACTCTCCAAGAAAAGCCAGAACCTTCACCCTCAGCTAGGGGGCATTACTTACAGACCACTTTTATTTACTGACAGACATTTACTTATTGGGATATGAGCCCCAGGGAGGGCCCTCTCCTGGGATAATAAATTGGGTTTTTTGCAGAAAAATAAATAAATAAGCAGCTAATAATGATGACATTCATAAAATAGGTGCCATACAGCCCCGCCTTAGGGAATGAATGAGTTACCAGAGGCCACTCAAGTCTATCCTCCTTTAAAGATAATAAAACCCCTTCATCTGTTAAGAGAATATTTTGACTTTTAATTGATTTATAACATCTAATCTAAAACAGTCCCAAATCAAGTAACAATGTACTAAGAAGGAGAGGGGCCAGAGTCTTTGCCCTCTATATGCCCGGCATCCAGAACTGCTTTCAAATATGATTTGATATGACGCTGTGAGCTTGCCTGAGTGGATGCTATTCAAACCACCAACCCAACTCCAGGCAGGGCAGGTTCAAATCTATCTATGCCCCAGGCTGCCATCATTTTGAAAGGATTCAATCTGCTCCAATCAAACATATTAAAATGCACCAACATCCTATATTGTTTCTGTTTAACTGTTTGAAACGCATTGTATAACTTCACTGTTGAAATCGAATTTTTTTCTTTTTGATTGCACAGTTTGTTGCTGTTCTTATTTTGGCTGCAAGAACATTTTTTTCAGATCTCAAGCATTTTTGAGACCCTTGAAAATATTGTTGACCCTATGCACTGCTGGGATCACTAGTGCCCATTGGATAAATCAGTCCTACACTACAAAGCTTACTGCAGGGTTTACTGTGAGAAAAATGTCAAGAACAGTGTTCATCGTCTTAAGCAATGTCATCTCCGGGAAGGCCCGAGGGGAGAATTTTTCTCTTGTTTTAGTATCCAGGGCAGTTGTGCTTCTGCTGTCTTGGTCTTGTGAGCCTATGAATCATGTAGGTAATCACGTCACCCTCTTCACACAGAAAGCTTAGAAAACACACATGCTGTTTTGTGCTCTAAACTCACTCATCCAACTTCCTCTTTGCCTCGTTTCTTCTCATTTCTTTTAAACTTATTTTTCCTAGCTTAATTAATTGTATGTCACAACCTTAAACAACTTCTGGACCAAGACAGGATACAAATAAATCAATACATAAATAGTATTATTTTGCCCTAAAACTGCTTTTCTCCCATAGAGTCTATTTTTTGATGACCTTTCTATTAAAATGATAGTCAGCATTTACTGAGTACTTACCATGGGCTAGTGCCAGGTGAAGTACTTCACATGAATTACTTCATTAAGTCATCATAACAGCTTTTGAGATGGACGCTACTACTGTCCTAATACTTTTCAGATAAAGGACCTGAGGCTTAGATGTGTAATTTACTCAGCCAAGAAGAGGCAGGCCTGGAATTCCACCGGAGGCTGGCCTCCTGGCCTCCTGGCCACCCGCTCACCCCCACCAGAAACCTGCCCTCATCCTGGATGCCCTTTCCTGGATTCCCTTCAGTTGCTCTGGCCTCCTAAACGCATCTGGATCCTGTTCTCTTCTCTGTTCTCAGCCCCAACTTCTTCTTTCAGGGCTCTTTTGACCTCTGTCTGGAATTTCTGCAATTGCTTCTTAGATGATCTTTCTGAATCCAGGCCTGCCCTCTATAAACATATCCTCCATGTTTCCAAAATACAAAAGTGTCCACATTTATGAGTTCCTTATAGGGTGCCTCAGTGGTGGCAGAGAGGCCAGTTTCCTTTGTCTGGCATTCAGGACCACTTACAATCAGTTCTTAGTCAAACCAGACCCTCAGAGACCCCACCCCATGCTCCCAAAACAGTAATTACTCCCCAAACGAGGGACACATGCCCATCCTCAGAGATCCCATATATACTGTTCCCTTCTTTGCCTGATGAACTACGCATCTTTCAGGGCTCAGGCCAAATGCATCTCCACTGTGGAATGTTCTCTGAATCTCCTAGACCCCAACCCTCCTCCATGACTTTCCTATTCTTTGGGAAACATCCTTACCACACTTACTTCATTGTGCTGTCAATATTCTGCTTGTCTGTCTCCCTCACTGGATCCTGAGCTCCTTGAGGACAGGAACTGTGTTGCCTTACCCACCTCAGACTCCAATCCCATACCATGGGCCTGGCACACAGCAGCTACTTGGAGATTGCTGAATGTTCAACCAAGCAGTAGATCTAAACTAGACTTTTGTATTATCACCGGAAGATTAACCTTCCTAAATCACTTCTACCCACAGTCCCCAAACCCAAGAATGTAAAGGCCATCATTAATTTGTACCTTTGGGCAAAATAGAAATGAGTGGTTCCTCTAGGCTGAGGTATTATAATAAGGCAACCTATTCTGGGCTTAAACATAGTTTCTATGTCCTTCCACATCACTTTGAATAAGCTAGACTTTATCTCTCACCCTCTTAACCAGACCCATCATTGTACAGGAACACAGTGCACATATCCATACATGGCAGGCCTACATGCATGTAATTCTCTCATGTTTCTGTGCACTACCCCTTTTATTTGAAAGACCCATCAACTTCCATCTGCAGATGCAAACTTCAATACCCAGCTCAAATGTCACTTTCTCTGTGAATCCTTCCCCTTTACTTCTCAGGCAGATTTAACTACTTGCTCTTTTGTGTTGCCCTAACTGTGGATGACACCCATATCTGAGTTGTGCAATATTGCATCACAATTATTTCTTTACTTCTTGGTCTTCCTGCTGGACTGTGAGTAGAGATCATGTCTTAGTCATTTCTGAGTCTCAAATGCCCAGGATGATGTCTTTCATATACAAGGTAGGTAGTCAAGAAATGTTTCAGACTGATAGCAGAGCTCCATTCAAGTTCCTACTTAGTTCAAAATGTTCACAAAATCTCCCTTTAGCTTCCTGATTGTTTCAAACTCCCCAGCCTGGTGCACCATATGCACAGCCTCATCACTCTCCATTCACCCCCACCCCAACCCCACCCTCCTTGAGTCACCCCGCTTCTCTGTGCTGCAGTCACAGTGAACTTCTGAGCACCTCCTACCTCTGGGCCTTTGCTCATCTGTCCCTTCTCCCAACAATGCCCTCTATGCCTATAAAAAGATCTATCCATCCTTCAAAGTGGATATGCCATCTTTGAAGCTCAAATGCCGTCTTCTTCACGAAGCATCCCATTGGCAGAAGTGGCTTCCTGCTGCTAAGAACCAAAGTACTTTGACCTTCCCTAGTCAATCCTAAAATACTTCTCTGTGTTTTAATCTGTGTTTGTAATTAAAGCACTTTGAAAGCAGGCAGTCCCAGACTTCAGCAAAGTGCAATGAACACAGTAGGTGTTCAGTAAATATTGGACTAAATGGAATAGGGAATCCAGGGCAACACCTGCAGATGGAAGTGTCCGCAAACCCATCTTCAGGGAACCAGCAGGGCACGAATCTCCGATCCTGTTCTCTTTTTCCTCAGCGGTGACAAATGTGAGTTCAAGGAAGAACTGGATAAATCACCCCTCCCTTCCTCTCCCCAGCCAACAGAGCTGGGCTTCCCTTCTAGAGAGGTGAGAGTGAGGCGTGACAGCCAAGTCTCCTTTGCTCCACCTCCTCTCTTCCCCCAAACACAAGAGCAGAAATTCACCTCTGACAGCACTGCTTTCAAGCCCCTGCAGGACGCGGCCACGCGGGACACATGGCACAGAACACCCAGCACACCTCTGCGGGGATGGTGCAGACAGACGCCTCCCTCTGCAGCACGAAGCACCGAGCCTCTGCACCCCGGGCTGCCCTGGTCCTCAGCCTGATCTTTGCCTCCTTCCGCTTGGCTTGCTTGGCAGGTAAAGCTGTGAGCTTTATTCGTGGCCACACTGGAAAGAGAGAGGGTGGGGAGAGAGGGAGGGAAGGAGGGAAGGAGGAGGAGGCTTCCTTGGCTAGGGTTGGTCCTGCACAATGGAGAGAGAATAGTCCTTTCTCATCTGAAGGATTAGGCAGGAGGGGGTAGGTGGGGTGGGGTGCGGGTGTCTTAAGTTTACCTGAGACCAAGTTCAAATACTCAACTCTTCGGCTAAGACAGCAGCAGCCACCTCTACTGGCCTTTGCCCCAAAGAAAGAGGAAAAAGCAATGTACTAATAGTCCTTCACATTAGGGGCCCAAACTGGCCTGAAATGACATCTTCTGGTTGCTGTTTCTCGTGGCTGCTGCGGTTTGCAGCCCTCCCTCTGCTTCCTAGCCCAGCCCTGTCCCCACACCTCTCCGAAGGTCCTCTGCCCCTCCTGTGACTCTGTTCTGCCTCATCAGCTATCACAGAACCTTTGTGGAACCCGCCTACCATGCTCCCACCTCCTTGCACTGCGCCGTCAGGTTAATGCCTCATTTTCTCCCCGAGTCTGGAGGGACTGAGCGCAGCCCCCGTCCCCTCCCGGGCTGGCTCCACACCTCCCGCAGAGACCTCAGCTGCACTCTCCTGCTCCTGGCTTTGCCCCTGGCTCTCCTCTTACTCCTCCACGCCCCTCGGAGGGTCTGTCCTGCTCCCCGACAGATTCTCCCCCTCTCAAGACCCGTCCTTGTGGCCCTCCTCCAGTCTGTACCTGCCTCATCCTCATCTCTCTGTTGGAGGTTCAGACAGAGGCCTTTCAAGCCACTGAGCCACAACTCCATTTCGGCTTCCACAACATACTAGCTGTGTGACCTTGAGCGAACAACCTCTCTGTGCCCCAGCTTCCCCATTTATAACGTGGGGATAATCACAGGGCTTACATAGGGTCATTGTAGATGAAATGAGATCACTGCATGTAAAGAATTTTTAATAGACTAGTACATGGTAAACACTCAATGACTGTTAGCATCTTCGTTTCTTTTTCCAGCATAAGAGTCCTCTGTTTCTGTTACCCTCATTGTGCCTTGCTTAGGACAGGGCCTCAAAAAACTTGACAAATCCAACTGCACAGGTTGTTGGGACTTCCTAGAAGCCTTTCCTTTGGAAGTGACCCCAAGTGGGACTGGTCCCTCGCTGACTCTACTTATGAGGGAGGAGGGTGAGGTTTAAATTCTTAAGAATTCCTAAGTAGGCTGTTCCATCTGAACCATAAAAGATTTCTGATATTGAACAATCTTTGACCTCTAGAAATGGCAATTTCATATGGTTTAACCTAACACTAGCATCCGATTAACTAGGTTTTTTTCTGCTCACCTGCTCTAGACAGGGACCACTGCGACTCTAGGGCGTAGGGGAGATGAAAACCAGGGCCAAGGAAGTTATTTGGGTCATAAGGGAAATTCAATGTTGAGGAATCAGTTTCTCCAAAACAAATAAAGACCAAGCTCCAAGCCATTTACTTGTAAATAATTTACAGTAACAATCAGACTGCATCAAGGTAATTATTGTACTTGAGGCAGGACATTGGGGTGGCCTGAGGAATGGGTGGCATAAAATCAGTCTAAGCAGCAATTTCATGGCTTTGGCTAAGCAAGAAGTTTCTTCCTAACTTGTCCTGCTGTGCGACAACAAGGTCCTTTCAAGGACAGGCTGACCTAGAGCTGGTGGAGCCTTGAGAGTTTCCAAACTTCTTTTTTTCTTGCATTCCCAAAGAAACAGAACAACAATATAACTTCCAGAATGATTCTTTAAAATGGGTCTCTCGGTCTTGATCTACCTAGATCAACACTGTCTAGTAGAACTTTTTTTAATGATGGAAATGTTCATATCTGGGCCGTGCTTCCGCTAGAGAGCCATCAGTCGCATGGGATGTTTGAACACTTGAAATGTGGCTAATATGACCAAGAAGTTGAAGTTTGTATTTAAATAAATTTAAAGAGGCACAAGCACCTACCATATTGGACTGTGTGGACCTAGATAGTCTATCTTCTCAACCTCAGTTATGAGAGCACAGGAAATGGCTTTTCTTCCCTGGGGTATGTTCATCTCTGTGACCCCACCTTACACTCCAGACTCTGATACAACTTTGAGAATTCTTGCTAAAGTTCTTTTCATCATACTCCTTGCTTATGAATCAAGGGAGAAATCTAAGTGCTGAATATTCTAGCAACCTCTGGACGTGCTGATACAGTGTTTAATTTTTTTGATAACCCACTGCCTGAGGAGTGCCATCATAACCCCAACAGAGATCTAAAAAAAAAAACCCAAGGTCAGATTTCATTGTTTATTTGTTCAAGTTTTTGAAGGGAATTGAAGGTAGTTATGAAGAGGCACTTGAGATTTTTAAGTGATTGTTTTACTATATACTAGAAAAACTATTTTCTAGATGTAGCTATCTGCATAGAAAGCAGCTAAAGTAGAGTGTTTGGCAAGCTGATTGCCACAGGCCCTCAGTCACTGAAGAGCAATGAGATGTGAAGGTAAAACATAACTGATGAGAACAGGGAGACAGGAAAAAAAGGAGTGTATTAGTTTGCTGCAGTAACAAACCATCATAGACTGGGTGGCTTAAACAACAGAGATTTCTTTCCTCACAGCTCTGCAGGCTCTGGGTGTCCCCAGGCCCGAGGGGTCCCCAGGCTCCTTTGCTCCCAGGGCCTCTCTCCTTGGCTTGCATGGGGCCACCTTCCCTGTGACCCCTCATGGTCTTTTCTCTCTGCATGGGTATCCCTGGTGTCTGTTCCTCCTCCACAAGCACACCGCTGATCCTGGATTAGGACCCACCCACGAGACTCCATTTAACCTTAATTGCCTCTTAAAGGCCCTATCTTCCCAACATCACTGTGAGTAAGAACTTCAGCAAATGAATTTGGGGAGACAGTTCAGTTAACAGAGGGTTAGCTTTGTTGCATGAAGTCTCAGTGTACCTAGACTGGACTTCCCGAAATACTTTCCTAATACTCGACGTTGATTCCCAAAAGAAGACTTAAAACTCCACGCCTGGGAATGGCTTTTCCTACTGCCTGAGACCATCTTCTATCTTTTCTTCCAGAAGCAAACAGCAGCGAAAGCTCATCCTTGGCCACCCACCACCAAGACCATGGGACCCTGGAGCAGTGCCCCAGTAAGCTCCTCCTGGCAACTGCCCTCACCCCAGAGCTGGCCCTGGATCGGGGAGGGAAACTTCAGCCTCCTTGCTTTCTGGTGTCAGGTGTCGTCAGTGGGCTGTAAGCCTGCCTGGCCTTCCTGTGCGCCGGCGTGGTTTGCTCCCGGCCCCAGAATTACTTGCAGAGCACATCCAAAAAGCCTTGCCCCAGTCTAGGCTCACAGTCCTCGGTAAAGGTGGCTTTAATGACCCCTCCCCAGGACAGCAGCCCGATATGGCCCAGGTTCACATGCTTATAGAAGTTTGGAAATGAAAAGACCATAAAAAAATCAAGTAGTCCAACTTCTGCCCAGTGCAGGAGCTTTGCTCTAGTTCCCTTTGCACATTTCGGTCCATCCGTTGGCTTGAATATTTCCAAGCATGAGGAGGCCAATACTCACAAAGCAACCATTGTTATGCAGGTCTAATGAACAGAAAGTTCTCCTTTATTCATTGTCGGGCTCCCTTTATCCTGCCTTCATTAAATGACCAAATGTGTTTACTTCCAGGCACTTACAAAGGACAGTAAGAGGCAATAAAACATAGAGATTAAGAACATAGCTTTAAACTCCTTCAGCCTTGGGTTTGAGTTCTAGTTCTGCCATGTAGCAACCTTCAGCAAGTTACAGGTTTACCTTCTTCCTGTAAAATGGGAATAACAACCATACCTGTCACTTTTTGAGGGAGAAATAAGGCGGCATGTGTAGACCATTTAGCATAGTACGTGCATGCTTGAGTAAACGTTAGCTATCATATTCTCGTTGTTTTTGCTATTATAAGTATTAAAGAAATACTAATTTCTTTCAGTATTAAAGAAAGAACTGGGGGGCTGGTGTGATGCACCCTGTCATCCCTGCTCTCCCTTCCCCACCAGATGTTGACTTCTGCCCCCAAGCGGCCCGATGTTGCCACGCAGGAGTGGATGAATACGGCTGGATCGCGGCTGCCGTTGGCTGGAGTCTGTGGTTTCTCACCCTCATCTTGCTCTGCGTGGATAAACTGATGAAGCTCTCTCCAGATGAGCCCAAGGATTTAGCAGCATGAGACTTTGGACTGTGGCCCCAGGCATGTTGTTGCCACCAAACTGTGGCTAATAGCTGGAGAGGAGCATTGCTAATGTGGCTGCTGGCATTTCAAAGTCATTTTCACCTTTAAGTTTTAGTTACATTTAAAAAGGAAGGAGGAAGGAAAGGGGGATCCAAATAAGACAGGGTGGGTGCTGCCTTGGTCCGTCTGAGCCCCAATAATCTCCTTTCTCAAGGGAGCCACTACGGGAAGTTCTTCTGAGCCCCAAGGGAAGGGCACAGGAAACATAAGACTTAGTCTTTTCATCCACACACTCAAAACTAAACTCATAATCTTCTCACCAAAAACAGGTCATTGTCTTCTGCCCCTCACTCCAGTCAGGGGCATCGCCATCACTTCAAAACATAAGACTCACCTCTGAGGCTCACCCTGTCCTCACCGCCATGCCCACTGCTTTGCCATTTTCATTCTTCAACGTA